ATAAGGTGCCCAAATAAAAAAATGTTTCTTTCTTAATGTGACTGAATTTTCGATTTAATTAGTGTAATTTGAATATTGACAGTTATATAATAATTAAAACACAAATTAAGACATATATTTTTGTACAAAAATGACACTTAGTTTACGTTAGTTTGTACAAGTTCAGCACTTCATAATAAGATGCAATGCGATTAAACTAAAGTGGCGATTTTCGTTTGTTATGAATTTGTACTTGGGAATAAGACGCTCAACAATTTAAACGCATAATTTTCCAAGTAAATTAATTTTATTCGAGATCTGCAGCGTGTTTTACAGGCAAAACTTTGGTCCGTGAACTTCTCGCAAACAAATGGCGCAACTGTAATGGAAGTTTCAGAATTTTAGATATCCTCATGCATATAACAACGTACATTTCTTATGCCGAAAGGAGAAAAAAAATAGATTTTTTATATTAAACAATCTCAAAAATGATGCATACAAACTTTTGCTTACACATACCTAATCTAAACTGATATGTTCTTCTTCATTTATTATTTCTGTAAGAGTACTAACCTATAGTCATAAAATAATGGAATATATCTTTTATACCAACAGTTTTGATGAAATATTTGCAAATGTACTTAACAAGTATTGCTCTGCCCTTTATTTAAAAAAAGTATTTTTTTTTCCATGTACTTGCATAAAAACTGTAACTTATGAACAAACTGTAAATTTAGACTAAATTTATTATATTATATAATCACATATTTTGTATATGTAGATTCTTTTAAAAAATTAGTTTTTGGTTCCGAACAAATCGAATATTACTATTGTTTTTATATGTAAAAAAATGGCAATAAATATACTTTCAACTAATAAGAATTACCGTTATTTATTAATTAAAATTATACTATTAAATTCAATTTTATTTGTCAAACTTAATTAACGTAACCTCTGATAACTAAGTTTCTATATATTGAATCAGCAAATGTCCAAAATTGTTGATGCTTCTTGGAAGAAAAGAAAAAAGAACTTTGACTTTCTTTTCTCCCAAGAACTATCAAGTATTTCACATAAATTTCGCGTAAAGTATTGATCAAATATAGAATATTATTTTAGTATACAATAAATTAGAAAATATGTTAATCAATAGGCTTGTAAAACTTTGATGAAAAGTATGTTATTGAATGCATAAAATGACGGTTTTTAGTGAAAGATTTATAAAACCATCAATTTTACTGTTTATTTAATAAAACTTTACATGGTTTAAAAAAAGAGTTTAATATTCTTTTCGAAACTATATTTTATACCTCTGAAAATGAAGTTTCTATTAATGAAATAATTCGTTGATTGAGGTATGACTGTAATTCTCAGTATTCCCAATGTTAAGATGTTCATACTCAATATCTCTTTTTTGGCTCTTCTTTAGTAAGCTTTCCTGATAAATGTTTGGCACTTCTCCAATTTTACTCCCCTCAATTTTGACGTGAATTATAGCCATTGTGATAAGAAAACGAAACGATATTTTATAATTCATTTCACGCTTTACATCACCTCTTGATACTACAATGCAATCTGTAACATATTTTTCGAAGAAAAAAATAAATCTTTCTAAAAATTATAACTTTCTTTTTTTTATTATGTCGCAAAGTATATATTTACATTACAGTCTATTCCTGTGAACTTTGGCGATTTATATTTTTATAACTTTCTCAGAAAAGGAAATTTCTTTAAGAATTCCTATCTCAAAATTAAAATTTCCCATAAATAATATTAATGAAACAAAAATAAGTAATTTTTATCCAGAATTCCGAAGTACTAACGATGGGTCACTTATGCAGAAATTTGCGAACTAATCAAAAAGTCGGATGAACCCGACTAAACTTACTAAATTAAGTTAATCATTAATTTACTAATAATATTTCAATAAGCATAATAATAACAGTTTTTACTTCTCCAATTACTTCACTTTCGATTATTTGCAACTATCTTTGCATTATGTTTGTAACAAAATTTTTAATATTCTAGTGGAAAACCAATGCATATAAACAAAACTGCTAACTTTTTCTAATTTAAATAAGATAATAGTTTCTTCCATAATCTATAAAACCTGCTGAATAGTCGATTTGTATATAACAAGCAATGCCTTAGTGTTAGACAAAGTTACAAAAATAAAGCAAGTTATAATATTAATTTGTTTTTTTTTTTGCATTTACGTTACTTGATTTTATGATTGAATTTTTAAAATAAACGAAGAAATTTTCGTATTAAAAAAGGATTGTATTAAATAATGTATGCAGTGTTCTATAAATATACGCCATTATTTAGGCAATTTCAAAATTCCATGATCCCAGAACCTTTCAGTTTTCTGCGTAAAAAACTCATCAAGATGCGCTTTGCAAGTCTACAAATACATCAATAACTTATAGTACGATAAACTAGTTCTGCCAATATCTATAATAAACTGTACTAAAATTATGAATCCGGACTTATTAATGTTGCACCATACAAAGTATTTCTATTAGTAGATATGAAATATATTAAATGTTAATAATTTATTTCATAAATTAGAAATATACATCAATATGTTAAGTTGCTTGAAAAAAAAATCATTTTCTGGTAGAATTTTGTGTTTGTTTGTAATGTACGCTATTGTATTACATAAAAAGGGGAAGCTAGATGTCGAGTCACACGATATCACGTATAATTTTCGACAAACTAATTGGAAAACCGATATCGTCTGCCCCATGCATGTATTTACATATTTGGCCTAGAAGGAGAAGTCTTTCCTTTCCTGGCAACGTGAAAAGCTAACCACGTATATATTTTCCAAAATTGCATGGAAACATTATATATCATTTCCAAAGAATACCGAATATATATGGACTCTTCACTTTTGCGGCTGAATTTGAATATCCACGGTTTTCAGAGATGAAATAATATCGATCGACGATAATGCCTCCCCACTTCATCAGAATGTGAATGAACTTTCATCCGATGAAGACTTTCCTTGCGGATGAAGAACTTTAAACGCATTCAAACTGAAATCGATACACTCTCAAAGGGAAAAAGAATAGAAAATCTTTGATTGGCTCTAATTTTATTTGTTTTGATCGTGTATTGAAAATTACTGGTATGAATGACATCAAGTCTGATGTTGTCTGATCGCTTCTTCTATCCAATCCAATTCCGTACAAAATTCAGCTCCTTTCGAAGGAAATTGACCCTTCGTCAATAATTTATTTTCCCCTCAGTCCTACACTTTTGCGACGGACCGAACACAATCGCATCGAAGCTCCGACAGAAGATTAATATATAACTCTGAAAAAATCTTCTGACATAAATCTGTATTTGGAAGCTATATTTCATAAAGAAAAGTAATATCCGAAGCTATAAAGCTTAATGAATTTCATGTCACATTCAATTGTATTATTTTCTTTAATAAGCAAAATACTAAGTATTATTGAATATAAACCTTTAGACTTAGTTTTTAAGAATAAATATGTATATTTATTTATATTTGTAGACATATTTTAAATATTTCCAAATTTCAAATTTAATTTGAAAAAAATCATCATAGGTTTTTCATATTTAATAATTAAATTAAACTATTTTACTTTTTATTGTGAATAAATGTGTTTTTTTACTTAAAGGTAAATTTTATACTGATAGTGAAGTAGATTATATAAACTAAACTAACCTTCTACATACAAACAAACCTTCAATACAAAACAAATTTAGATTAATAGAAAATATAAATTTCTTGCTTGCTTGATAGTTTCTGTCATCGTATATTTTTTTGTCTATTACATTGAAGTTTAATTTACGTACACAGCACAGTATAAATGTATATAAATAATAATAATTACCATAGTAATACTATGTTGATTTAATAATACAATAAGCAGAAAAACTTAGATCGATAATAGATAATAAAAAAAATAATTAAAATAGGTACTAAATAAATTATATATTTATGAGAATATGTTTATAACATATGGAAAAATTACCGAAATTTTCATTAAATAAAACTTTATCAACAGTTTTATTCAAAGGGTTAGAATCGAGTTACTCGATGAGAAATAGACAGAATTTATTATGTTGAAAATGATTCTGAAGGAATTTTTAAATTCGAGTTCAATACGATGAATTTATTCATAACAATGGCGTAGAATGTAACAAGTGAACTAATTAGTTTATTATATTCAAGTTTTCACATACGAAAAAAATATTTTTAATAGCTTATAAAAGTTACTTTAGTTAGTGAATAATTTTGCATTATAAGAAGTATCTGCTATTTGTTAAATAAAACATAACTGTTATTTAATTAAAAATTTACAATTTAAAATATGTGTTTATATTACAATATGTTATATGTTTTTCACTGCTAAAGTAGCTGGTGCTAGAATAGTTTGTGTTTTTACTAATTCGCCTGTAATATCTTACATTATTTTTTGAACCTACTTGGACTATTATTTTCTTTGAACAAAATGTACAATGTTAAGTTTCGTTTGTTGCCTTTTTTACTACATGATTATAAAGTATTTAAAAATAATCTAAAGTGTTTTTTATGTGTACATATTTTTTATTAAAAGTATATATAAAAAATGTCCTAAGACTAATTAATACACACATTTGCTGCTCCCTTTTGTAATCTGTTAGATGCTTATCCTAAGAAGAATTGCCTGATTAATTATATACAACTTAGTGGATGTCCTGAAAATTTATTAATACGGAGTTAAGCGGCTAACTCCTCCTCTATGACCGCCATATCCAGGAAGACGAGCGAACCTTCCGGTAAAACCTCTGCTGGGTCTGCGTGTACCTATGGCGTGGTAGGAATTTTTGAAAAAAGAAAGTTGGTATTTCTTTTTCCCCAGTAGTTTCAACCCCCAATAAACGCACCTTTTTTTGGGTATAAATACCGGACGCAAAATATAGGTAAGCATCAGTTCTCACTGCAACTTGTGTGCATCAACATTTCTGCTTTCCAGTTTTCAAAAATATTACTTTTATTAGCAATGGCTTCCAAAATCAATAATTCTACAGTGATAACTACAGATGCATTCATGCTGCTGGAAGAACCTTCTGGCATGGACTCGGCTACTGTAGATGAGGCAGAGTTTATGGCGATCAAGCAGACGATGAAAGAGTTGGACGATGAGATGAAAAAGTTAAAGAAAATTGAGAAGCAGTTCAACATAAGTGCAACATTAACGGCGAGTCCTCTCAAAAAATCTTGGGATGCTAAAATTATGGCAGACATTAAAAGTGTCTACGTGGGCAACGTGGACTACGGGACGACGCCTGCCGTTCTGCAGGCGCATTTTCACGGCTGCGGCGTCGTCAAGAGGATTACCATACCTGTTAGTAAGTTTGACGGCACTCCTAAGGGGTTCGCCTACATCGAATTCTCTGAGCCTTCATCAGTGGATTTGGCCATGTCTTTGGACCAATCTCTTTTGCGCGGAAGACATATCAAGGTTGTCCCGAAGAGGACAAACAAACCTGGATTCTCCACCACCAACCGTCCGCCCAGAAGTGATGCATTCGGCTACCACAGCAGAGGTGCATACAGACCCATCAGAGATTTTACCGGAAGGTTCTCTCTTCGTCGTGGATACGGCGGTCAAAGAGGAGGATTTAGCCGCTTCACTCCGTATTAATAAATTTTCCGAACATCCACTAATAATTCAGGCAATTCTTCCTAGGACAAGCATCTAAATTTGTCATTTGTCCGGAACAGCAAATGTGTGCATTAATTAGTCTAAGGACATTCCTTAAAAATACTTTGAATAAATAATACATACACCAAAAACACTTTTGATTATTTTTTTATAACTAATATTCATGTATTATTTTTAATACATGAACAAAAAAACAAAATTTAAATTGCAGTTGTAGTTTTATTCAAAGGTATATATGTAATCGAGTTACTCGGTGTTCAAGCTTTAATTAAATGGAATAAAAACCACCAAAAAAAGGCTGGAAATTGTATCAGTGTAAATTGTGTTGATAATGGTTCTGAATGAATTCTTAAATTTGAGTTCAATGCAATGAATTCATTCATAACAATGGCGTAAAAAGAAACAAGTGAATAATTTTGCATTATATGAAGTATCTAAAATTTGTTAAATAAAACATAACTGTTTTTTTGAAATTAATTTTTTACAATTTAAAATAATTTCTGTTATTCACTTCTGAAGTATCTGTTGCAGTGAGAACTGGTACTTACATATTTTTTGCGTCAGTTATTTATACCCAAGAAAGATGCGTTTATTGGGGTTTGAAAATATTGGGGAAAAAAGAAATAGCAACTTTCTCTTAAAAAAAACTACATTAGTAATAGTATACTTCGATTCTCACAAATTTTATAAACAAGCTCATTAGAAGTAAGCAAATTTACAATTTATTTATAATTTACATTTTTATTTTATCCGATGACTTTTTACCACCTTTCTGGCAACTTCATGATTCTTATTCTTCTGGTTCTTATCAATAAAAAACTGAACCAAGTAAAATTTCAGGTCATCGTCATCATTAGTGAAAATATTACTATTCAACAAGCTTCGCAAACTTCGAAATAAATAGTGATCTGATTATGCAAGGACCAGACCAAATAGAATATGCGACCTCACTTTCTAACTAAAGCTTAAAGTTACTAAATATACGTGAAATTTTCAAACAGCACTATGGAGTATCCAGACTATGCGAGCAAGAGAAGATTGCTAGGAGTAGTGGCACAATCTATTATGCTGTACGCTGCTATATGGGAACAAGTAATGACAGTTCTAAGCTATAGGAAAGCGCTAGAAACGGTCCAACAGAGAGGAGCAATTAGGATATGCAGCGTGTATAAGACAATTTCCCGAGACGCAGTGCAGGTGATAGCTGGTGTGCCACCAATAGAGCTCCTTGTTCTGGAGAGAGGTGCGAGGCAGTGACCTAGAGCCAGACTGCTTCAAAAATGGAAAGATAAATGGCACAGATCAGAGAAAGGAGCCTGGACTTGGCACGTAATTCCGCAAATAGAGCCTTGGTTAAGCAGGAAGCACGGTGGTACAACATTTCACCTGAGCCAGGCGCTGTCTGGTCATGGATGCTTTGATGCTTTGAAAAGTGCTGGTACTGCGAGGAGGACGATAGCCCTGAGCACATGCTATTTAGGTGCTGCAGATGGGTTGGATTGAAGCACGAGGCGGAGGCAGAATTGGGAGTGAAATGCTAAAGAGTGTGGACAGTTGGAATATTGTAGCGGCGTACAATTCAGAGGTGCTACTAAACAAAGAAGAAGATGTGCGGAGGATGTAGAGGAAGTGCCAGAGAGGCAATGACAATCAGCATCGCAGAGTAGTATAGCGATACATGTCCTGCATGCTGGCGAAGAAGGGGAAAGGTTTTAGTGCAGTAAGAATCCCACAGTACCATGACTCCACCAGTGGTTCCTATGTAAGGTTTCCTCTCCTCTACAAAAAAAAAATAAAAAAGACTATGCGAGGTATTGCTGTATTAAAAAATATGATAAATTTTTATTTTCTCTGCAATCTTCAATCAAATTAAATAAAAATATATTCCGGTTAAAGTTTAATTTTAATTCTTCATAAATTTGATTTATTCACGAAATATTATGTTCATACTTTAATAACAGTGATATTCATTTATATAATTATCATAATTTGTATTAAGAGATGTACATTTTGTTGCTTCTTACATTACAGACACTTAACAATAATTTTTAGTTTTAGATTAACACTATTCTAGACATACCGCCATCTATTAATCTTAGTTTATTAACTAATTGTACAACAAATAATGGTATTTTTTTATCTTCTTATATTGACATAATACTGAACAAATAAAATATAACGAACGATATTTTTATGGTTCAACCTCACCACTTTTAATATGTAAAATTATATGTAGTTAAACCTTATTATAACGAAATGTGTGTACACAATACAATTTAAAGTACATGGCTTACATTCAAATTAGTTTGGTTTGTTTTTTAATAAGCAAACTACTTCAGTAGTTGGTTGGTGAATGTATATAAATTCTATGTTTATATAACAGAATTGATGATAGTTTATTTGGTGATTTTGTTAAAGGTTTGATATTTCGTGTTCATCGTATTTTACGATCATCAAATGCACGAAGCGGATAAGTTCAAGGGTTGTCCTAAATATACGCAGTCGATAATAGTAAACAGGGAATTGCGAAATGCAATACTGGAAGTCGATTCGATCGTGACGAAAATTTGAGTGACTGATTCAAGCAGCTATACACGAGAGCCTATTCCGCAACATTCCCGCAGATGAGTACTGCACGAGTTTCATCACTTTTGTTCTTGGAACTATCGTCCACACTGCTTGCATAAGAGGACCAAGGGTGCAAAGGATTATCGTTGCGCGTATTCATGCGACTTCCTCCATCGTTCTGGGTGATTCCAGTTAATAGCCCAGCCCCAAATTGGATTCAATTACGTCCTCTTCGCACCCTCTTCTTCCGCATCCGTCACCCGACCCCATCATCCATTTTAAACACTAAATTAATAAGAAAATAATCCCAGCCGCAGAATTCAATTTCAGTTTGTTTTCCGAAAAGGAAATTCCCTAAATGGATTTCCATAACTAACATCCGTTTTCTTATATCCTGCGGTTGATAACTATCATTTCGCTCGACTTTAATTAAGTACTTTATTACCACGATAATAATTCAAACGAAATTGTATATCTAGTAACCAATTTATTCTCTGAACATCTCTATTGTGTATATATATACAGTGGAACCTCGCTTAACAAGCACAATTTTCCTCGTATAAACTAATATAATATTTGATAATACGTTCCATTTTGCGAGTCATTTTTCTTACAATTTATTTTGCTCGTTAAGCAAAATGCTTGTTATGCGAAGTGCTCGTTAACAACTACGGACAATTTATGTATATTTTTAGATATATTCAATACATTTTAGTTTACTTCTTATTTCTTTCAGTATTTCTCAGATTTATTTACAATTTTCCCATAATTTAACTTTCTAAAATTGTTCGAGAATTCTGAAAAAAAAAACATTTTAAAATTCCCATTTCCTGAAACGCCTTTCTATATATTTACTTGTAACTCTAGTAATAAATAATAAATACAGTTCAAATACAATGAAATATATATTTTAAGTTTATTTGCAACATTTAATTCAATAATTACTAATATTATAATACTGTTTTTTACCTTCAAAAGGTTAAATTTATTTATTATTTTATCATTAAATTACTAAATTAATATATACATTTTTTATGACATAAAAAAATATTGGAGATTTTTTATATTAAAATATGAATATGATACATTATTAATCGCACATATTTACTTATAAACAATTACAGCTCGACTGGAATAAATATATAAACCTCAGTATTATATCTAATCAAACTACATATTGGTGAAACTATAATCCGTTCATTGTAATATGATTCTATATGTATATATTAACAGTATCAATATATACACGTAATTTAGTAACATAGGAGCATACATGCATAACTCGAACAAATACATCAGTATATTGACTAAACTGTATACTGTAATTATTATTTACACTTGCTTTTATGTAGGGTTTATACAAAAACCGACATTTCCACAGAACTGGTTTTCGAATTTTCCAAAAAATTATAGAGATATTTTATAACTAATTTTAATATACAAAATGAAAAAAATAATCAAAATAAAAACTGAAAAAATTCTAAATATTACATAAGATGTTAGTGAAAAAAATTCTATAATAGTACTAAATCCCGTTTATCTTTTCTCTTGAATTCATGTCTTTGTAATTCCTTAAATAATTTCAGTTTTAAAACTAAACTAAAATTTTACAAAATGAAATATGTGTGAAACACTCATAACTTTATTAGTATAACTTAATAATGTGAGTCAATGAAGTAGAATTATTTTGATATTATTTATTTTTAACTAAATATTGTTAATAAAATTGTTAATGATATTAGTAATACTAACGGTACCCTTTCGAATCTTTGTGTACAATTTCTCATAGATAAAATTATCACATCTCTATTATATTTTTTGACTTTTTCTAAAATATGGATACAATGATTTTGTAAGTGTTTATTTCTAGAAATATTTTCCGAGAAAAATCTATAAATTTGACCGATTGAAAACCTGTCAATGTGAATTATATAGTTGTTCGTTTGCATTTGATGCTATAAGTGATATTTAGAAGAAACAAGTGTATTACAAAAATGTCAACACTATCAAAATCAAAGTTATTAGAAACATAAATAAATTGTACAAAAAAACAATAAACTAAATATAGAAGTAGTAGTATTAATTTTCTTTAAGACAAAGTAAAATTATCAAGTTATTACATAAACACTTATATCGTAAAACACATATATTTTTTGAATGTGTAACCTTATTAATTTCTGTATAAATATTGATTAACCTATATTATCAAAAAGAGATTGTTTTGATTGATATTTATATTTCCCAATTATTTATTATTAATTTATATATAAAAATCTAGATTGCAATTGGAAACAATTTGTCTTATCAATGCAAAGTTAAACAAGCTTATTTGGATTTCATATCGAATGGAATCTCAATTCTTGATCACCTGTTTTCCTAATATAGATTTAAATTAGATTTAATAGTGTTCT